GGGATGCTCCTTCCCTAGGAAACACCTCTAAGGAAGAGCTATGTGTCATTACCAGAAGAAAGAGGTGGAAAATCAGCCTGCTGGGCATGATAATCTAGAGGTGCCACAACATAGTCTAGGTTTTATATATTATATAGGAGCATGCTGATGCACAGAGAGATGATGTGGCTTCTCTAGTCACACAGCTAGTTTGACTTAAAACAAAAATGATTGCAAGATCATAAGAGCTAATTTCTCCATCATTTTTCTCAAATCTCTATAGGTAGATTAATACCCCTATTACTAAGCTGGTGTTAACTAAATTAAGTTTCTGTCAGGGATCAAACCAGAGCACATTAACCAGATAAAATAATCAACACATTGGAACTTAGGTTAGAACTTAGAAAAAGAGTCCAATTTTAAATAAAGGCCAATTTCATTAACTAGTAATTTGACAGATTCTTTTGTTTAATGTAATAATTTATTTTCATTTTAAATTTTTCCATACTTATTTTAAAAACAAATCAAACTTTTAAATTTAAATTTTATTTTTTTTGACACAGACTCTTATTCTGTTGCCCAGGTTGGAGTGCAGTGGCATGATCTTGGCTCAGTGCAACCTCGGCCTCCAAGGCTCAAGCAATCCTCTTGCCTCAGCTTCCCAAAGTGCTGTGATTACAAGCATGAGTCCCTGAGCTTGGCTTTAAACTTCCTTTTAAAAACAAACAAAAAGGGACTTTCCTCTTTGCATTATTATATAAGCTGTTCTTTTAGGAGACTTTCTCTAGTTTTAAAAATAACAAAATGACTTTTGCCTATTTGATTGAAAGAGATTCCAAAGATTGGCATGAGCAGAGTGAAGTGGGTATTTTGATACATTGTTGGTGGAACTGTAAATCGATTCAGGCTTTCTGGAGTGCAATCTCTCATAAATACAATAAATTAAATATGCATATACTTTGATTCACAAATTTAACATCTAGGGACTTATCTTTATCAAATAATAGACACAGATACATGTAAAAATATTTACTACAGCATGTTTATATTTTTAAAACAATCTAAAAGCCAAATTTGAGCTGTTAAATTAATTATAGTGTATGCATATAATAGAATACTCAGGAAAGATGAAATGGATGTATATTCACTGACATGGAAAGTTTTTCAAGGTAGGCAATGAGGTTTAAAAAAAGCAGCTTATGTAATAATGCAAGAGGAAAGTCCATTTGTGTTTGTCTATTTTTGCTAAATACAAACCACATTAATGCATTCACGACCAAGGATTAACAAGTGTGCAAAATAAGAATTCTCAGTAACCCCCAAAGAACGTTTTCTTGGAGATCACAAAGATGAATAACCAGCTTAGATTGCAGGAAATTCTTGGGAGATAGTTTCCCTTGAAACATGGGTAACAGCCTCGAGGTCTTCCAATAAATGGGATCTAAGGCCTCAGTACTTAGAAGACAGCTGGTTAATGACATACCTATATGTGAAGTGAGTCAGGAAGCAGAATGGTCTTTAAAAAACTGGATGTGCCTGGGCACATACTATATTAGAAATAAAAATGAGTAAGGTGTCCAAAGAGACTAAGTAGTAATATGATGAGACCAAATTAGGGATATTTCCCTTAATAACTACTCCTTCTGATGTTATCTACTTGGCAGGATCTTCAATACTTTCTCTTTGACAGGCATTAATTTGATGAAGGAGGCAAAATAACAGGGAGGCTACTAGTGAAGAATGACCTCCTACTCAAATTATTCATAGGTAATTAGAACTTTTTTTTTTTTTTGAAAGACAATCTCCAGAGCAGTGATTGTCAAAGTCAGCTTGCCAATCTTCAGCATTAGCATCACCTGGGAATTTGTCAGAAATGCCAATTCTTAGGTCCCGTTCCAGAACTAAATCAGAAACCCTGGGGGTGGGGCCAGAAATCAGTGTTTTAACAAGCCCTGGTGATTCTGCTGTGTTGTTCTTAGGTATTTTAGTAATTAAATTCTTCATGTATTTATTGTCAATAAGTTCAGGCTGAAAATGTAAGATTATAAAAAGATCACAGAAGACATAGATTGTTTAAATACATCTTTCTAAAGAGAATATGGTGCTTTAAAAAGAATTGAGTTTGCATTTTGAAGTACGTTTCAGCAAGGGGTGGGGCCTGTTTTATATAAAATGAAGTATCTTCTTTCAGATTGAGATTCCTGTAGTCTTTCACACATGGAAGCCCTGCATATTTCTGTAGATGATGTTTATTCTGAATTTATTTGCCATTTGACTCATCTACCTAGGCTTATTATGACAAAATATCCTGACCAAAGAAAATGTTAAAATGTTAAAACAAAAATTGCTGAAAAGAGATCAAAGCCTTTCATGCAAAGCTTTAAACAGAGTACTATATTATGCACATGTTGAAAACTATATGATTTTCCTGGGAAAAAAGTGAATAGTATGTTGTTAATTTGTTCTTCTGGATAGGCAGAGAAGGTCTTACTCCAAAATCTTGAGGAAAGTCTATGTTCAACTTTTTAAGAAACTATAAAACTTATCCAAAGTGGTTATACCATCTTTCATGCACTTCAGCAATTATGAGAATTTAAATTGCTCCACATCTGGCTGGGTGCAGTGGCTCATGCTTGTAATCCCAGCACTTTAGGAGGCCTAGGTGGGCCTGGAGGTCAGGAGTTTGAGGCCAGCCTGGTTGAAACCCCGTCTCTACTAAAAATACAAAAATTAGCCAGGTGTGGTGGCACACACCTGCTTGGGAGGCTGAGGCAAAAGAATCACTTGAACCTGGGAGGCAGAGGTTGCAGTGAGCCAAGATCATGCCACTGCACTCCAGCTTGGGCAACAGAGTGAGACTCCATCTTAAAAAAAAAAAAAAAATTGGTCCACATCTTCAACCATACTTGGCATAGCAGTATGGTAGCTTGGTAGCCATTCTGTTAGGTCTTTAGTGGTATCTTACGGTGATTTAAATTTGCATTTTCCTAATGACTAATGATGTTGAGCACCTTTCCATATGTTTATTTGCCAGTTGCATATCTTCTGATCCAGTCATTCTACTCTTTATTACAAAGAAATAAAAACACATGTACATGTAAAGACACAGATCCTTTCTCTGGACTGAACTGTGTCACCTCAAAATTCATATGTTGAAGACCTAACCCAGTGTGAATGTTTAGAGATAGGGTCTACAAGGAAGCAATTAAGGTTAAATGAGATCATAAGAGTAGAGCCCTGATACCACCGGATTAATGTCCTTGTAAGAATCGACCCCAGAGAGTGCTATCTTGGTGTCTCTCTCACCCCACCCTCCTTATATTTCTCTCTTCCTCCTTTTTTCCCTCTCTCTTCCTTCCCTTTTCTCTCTGTAAGCACACAAAGATGTCATGTGAGCACATAGTAAGTTGGAAGCTTCCTTCAAGTCAGGAAGGGGCCTTACCAGAAACTGACCATGATGGTATAGTAATCTTGAACTTCCAGGCTCCAGAACTGTGAGAAAATAAATGTCTGCTGTTTAAGCCATCCAGTCTACTGTATTTCGTTATAGCAGCCTGAGCTGACTAATATAATCCTCATAGCAGCTTTATTTGTAATAGTCAAAAACTGGAAACCATGTAAATGAATGGAAAAACAAATTGTGATATATATATATATATATATATATATATATATATATATATACACACACACACACACACACAATAGATTATTGAGCAATAAAAATAAATGAACTATTTATATTCACAACAGCATGGTTAAATCTCAAAATAATTGTGCTGAGTGAAACAAACCAGACAAAAAGGAGAGTTGACACTGTATGATTCAATTGGTATTGAACTCTAGAAAATGTAGCTAAATGTTGGTGACAGATAGCAGATCTATGGTTGCCTGGGAAGTGAGTCGTGGTGAGGAATGGGAGTGAAAGATGACAAAGTGGCCAGGCACAGTGGCTCACGCCTGTAATCCCAGCACTTTGGGAGGCCAAGACAGGCAGATCACGAGATCAGGAGTGCCAGACCAGCCTGGACAGCATGGTGAAACCCCATCCCGACTAAAAATACAAAAAGTTAGCCAGGCATGGTGGTGCATGCCTGTAGTCCCAGCTACTCGGGAGGCTGAGGCAGGAGAATTGCTTGAACCTGGCAGGCGGAGGTGGTAGTGAGCCGAGATCTCGCCACTGCATTCCAGCCTGGGCGACAGAACAAGACTGTGTCTCAAAAAAAAAAAAAAAAAAAAAAAAAAAAGACAAAGGGCAGGAGGAAATCTTAGAGAGGGATGAATATGTGTACTAGCTTGATTGTGGTAGTGGGTTCATGGGTGCACACTTATGTCAGAACTTATCAAATTGTATACTTAAAATTATGCAGTCTATTGTATGTAAATTATATGCAATAAAGCTATCTTTAGAAACCATATGGAATCCTGTTGTCACCAGTAATCTCTAATTTTGTGTTAAATCGATTTTAAATTGCATTTTCTCCAGTGTCTGATAAACAAGTGGAAAAGAAAATGCTTCACCCAGGAAAGAGAATCATATGTATGAGACCTTATGGCTTTGTACCTTATCTTTGTGAGGAGCTGGGAACAGAATCCCTGCCCCAGCCCAAACCCTCAGCCTTCCCATTGCCATTGGAGGTAAAAACAACAACACAATAACAAACAACAGCAAAAACAAAAATCAGAAATCCAAAAACCAAATCAAAGGGCTAAAAAACACGTGACAGCAAAACTCAAAACTGGGAACTAATGACTGCTTGAACCTTTTGTTTTTGCAGCCTCAGGTGTCTCGGTTGGATATGGAGGTAAAGAATGAAATGTTATGCCATCTTTCAATCACATTTGGTAACTGGTGTCAGGAATACTGGATTACAGGAGAGAAAAGCCTCCACAAGCAGAAATGCTAAAATCTAGCATAATAACATGTCACCTCATAAGTCGGGCAAGACTTTGACAATAAAACAAAGTTGGACACAGAATTTGACTAGAAATTCAAAACCTGGGTCAATTTCACAGAAAACTCAGAAGATAAAATAGAGTTTTATTCATAGCCTAGGCAAAGTTCAGAACTTTATATTGCACTTCAGTGGTTGTGCTGATCCACTGTTTGGGTGGGATCACAATAACAGGGAAGGCCGAGGCTTCTAACAGAAGGTCCTTTGTGGCAAATCACTATGAGAGGAAACTCCGTCAAAGTCGCCAATTGTTCATTTCATTTCTACTGTGCTACAGAAGCCTAGTTTTGTTTTAAGCGCTAACGTCCGAGGTTTTGAGCAAAGTTTTTGAGCTTTGGCTACCCAGCTAGCAAGTAATAGAACAGTCAACTCAAAACTACGTCTGATGCCAAAGCTCTAACTCTAAAACTCAATATAGAGTTTTTTTTCTGGGAGATCTCCCCTCGTGTCTCCCCCAACTGTGACTCGCATTAACTCGCTGCTGGTTCCCAGCTGGAGAGCAGTGATTGCACCTGCTCCGAAGCCCAGAGGGGCTCAGCCTCTTCCGCAGCTCACCCTCGGCTGTCTGTGTACGGACATCAGGACCCACCAGGGGTCACTGCAGCTTCAGAGCTATTGTGCCCCTCAGTCCTGGATCCGGCCGACCGCGCGGAGGGCGTGGGACTGGGAACGCCGAGCGGTGGGGTCCGAGCAGCACCGCGTCCTCCTCTCCCCAGCCAGCTTTCAGGTCTCCCGGGGAAACGGACGCAGCGAGCACCGGACCGCCCAGCGGCTCCGGCGCAGCGCGCGGCTTGGGAGCGCGGACCCGCCGGCACCTCGCGGCTGGGACCACCTCCGCCTCTCCGTCCGCCCCCCCAGTTGATACCCCGCCCAGAGCGGGACTCCCCAGCGCGGCCATCCTTGGGCCGGGGGCGGGAGGAGCCCTTCGTTCCGAGGCCTTTTCCAGACGCCTGGGCCGGGCCCAGATGCACCTGGGCTGCTTCCGCCCGGGGCGCCACCCCTCGCGCAGCCAAGAGAACTTTCCCCGGAGCCTCCGCGGCCTGGCGCGCCCAGGGCACACCCCCTCCTGCCGCGTTCCCAGCTGGGGCGTCGCTCCTCCGCCCGCAGGTCCCCGCCTCCCCGCTTGGCTGAAAGTCCTGAAGCAGCAGCGCTCCGTCGCTGCAGCAGGCATTCCCGGAGGGAGAGCTTGAATTTGGCTACACACGGCCACCCGTGATGAGCTCGGGGGTCCCCGGACGGGAGCCACGCCCCGCAACGAGCTGACCTCCCCTCGCCGGTATCGGTAAGGAGCCCGCTGCCCTTTCCGCCCCTCCCGGCCCCTCTGCGCTCAGTGCTGTGGGACGGGGTCGCGGACGGAGCGACGACCCTCGCCTCTGCCCCTGTGCGCAAGGCCGGGGCGTCGTGGGTGCTCCTGACACAAAAGAAGAGCCGAGCGCTTCCTACTCGGCGGACCTGACCCGGGGCTGCGGGGCGGGGTCGCGGCTGGAAGTGCGCGCCGGCCGGAGACTCCACAGGCCGTTCGGAGGCCGGGACGTCGGGGCCGCGCTCAAATCCGTGCGGCTGGACGGAGCCGCAGCGCCTCCGGGGGCTGCCAAGGCCAGGGAGGGCCTCGAATTTCCGTCCCTCCCTTTTCTTGTATCTTGCCCCCATTGCCAGGAGACTCGTCGTCCCCAGGACTGCAGGAGGGGCCCCGCGCCCCCGTCTTCGGAGGAGCCCAAGCCTCAGGATGCCCGGGGACGCGCCGCCGCCCTCGGCGCCCAGTTCGGCAGGCGCTTCGCCGGCGGCTCCCGGGTGCTGACTCTCCCGGGCTTTTCCGCCCTTCTCGCTCCCGCCCCGCCGGGCGGCTAGGCGGCCTGGACCCGGACCCCGCCGGGAGTTGCTCCTCTCGCCCTCGCCACGGCGCGGACAATAAATTAATGCGTCGCGCTTGAGGGGAGGGGGCGGCTGGGCGCCTCGGTGGCAGCTTTCTCGCCTGGCTGGAGACGGCCACAACCGACATGGGCTGTTTCTGCGCTGTTCCGGAAGAATTTTACTGCGAAGTTTTGCTCCTGGATGAATCCAAGTTAACCCTCACCACCCAGCAGCAGGGGATCAAGGTGGGTGCGGCCGGGAGCGCGTTCCGGGGGCAGGCGGCAGGGCGGGCGCGGGTGTCCCCCGCTTTGTCTGAGGACGGGCACCGGTGGGTCGAGGGCGGCGGCCGCGTCTCTGCGCGGTGGGGAGGAGAGGCCGCTGTCCCCTGCGGGCAGGGAGAGGGTGGACGTGCCAGGGTGAGTTAACTTTGAGTTCCTTCAAAAAGCAAAGTTGAGTTTGACGTCTCAGAGGTTACTCAGCACACCAACTCCCTGCAGCAACCCAAAACTCTTCCCCAGACGTTTTCTCCAAAAGCCTCTGGGTCTCTCGCGGCTTTCAGAGAAGGCAGAATAGGTTATACCGGCTGCATCCCACCGCAGCGTGGAAAGCACGATTTCCCTCGGTTCTGTTGAAGGCGTTTTCCTCGATAGTGTAATTAGGGAAGCGAACTGGTTTACTCATTGAAACACGTTAATGGGTAATTGTGATTATTTTGCGTGGGTTTGTAGTTGGGTAATGCTACGTTTGGACGGAAAACATTTTCTCTTTCTACAGCTACCTCGGTTTATCCTTACGTTTAAGTCAACATCTCTCAAAGCGACCCAGTAATAACTTTGCTCCTGTCTGTGGGTCATTAAAATGGAATCAATACATTAACCTGGAGAACCCAAACAAAAAAGCAGCAGAGCCCAGCAGAGCTCCTCTTCCTTACGTTTGATGAGAAGGTGTTTATGTTTATAGTGACAGTCTGACCCATGCGCCTGCGTGCTTGTTTAGCTCTTACAACAATGTTAACTACGTAAACGAGACCTATTCCGTAGCGTTTTGTTGTTTTGTTTACCTTTCTCTTTCAGTTTTAAATCACTAAGGCGTTTTAGGTGAGGCAGCGGCTGAGTCGCCTGAAGGGAAACCGCTCCCCGCCTCAGATATAGCTGACCTTCTGAGAAAGAGAGATCAGGCTGCCAAGTATCCTCTCTTAGTCTCTTCATCTCAGAAGTTAATCCTAATGGGGTAGGCCCTGGACGTTTCCTTTTGTGAATCAGTTTTTACGTGGTTTTATGAACACAAGGATAACTATTCCTGGCTAAAAGTTTCAGCGTTGGTGTTGCCATTCTTAGTGCACAGAATTCCAATTTCATAGGTGTCTTTTGCAAGAGAAAGAGGCAAAAATGATCAGTTAAATCTACAAGACTGTTAACTCTTTTCTTTAGGAGATTGTTTTGAATATTGTTTTCCCAGTAATTATAACAAGCAGAATTCAATTCTATGGGGTTTTCTTTCAAGACCAATAAAATACTCTTTTGGGGGAGAATGTACATTTTGTATTTTTAACTTTATGTTCCAAAAGATTTCTCCTCTCACCCACCCAATGGAATCAGGAAAATACTGTAACTTACAAGATGATGTTACATTCTTTGGTGTACTGAATAAAATAGGCAAAAATCACAAAAACATCCTAAATTCTAGATAATATATAGATTCTTCATGGTGTCGAGATAGAAACAATTGGAAAAAGGTAACTGATGATCAGATACTAAGACAACAAAGAAATCTTTTTGAAGTGCAAAGTCTAAATTATCTGGATTCTAAAATCATCTGGAATGTGAGCTTCCTATTTAATCATGAAAGCCATGCCTGTCATCTGTAGAGTGTGTACATTATTCTGTCAAGAGAGCAGCCAGGACTTGGGATCAAATGGAATAATTTTGTCAGAGTAACATGAATCAGAAATCCTGATCCATAATTATTTTTTATAACCCAGTGGTGCTTATCTTGTTTTACAAATAGGCTGAAAATTGGTGAGTGAGTCAAAGGCAGCAGCAACTATATAATATTGTTATTTTGGATACAGGCCATAGAACTAAACAATAATTTCAGGAGGCTTTTGTTGGAAATAATCGTTTAAAAACAGGCTTGGCCTCTGTCCTTGTCACAAAAGCATGCCACAATTATTTTGATGGCCATGTGTGTAACACAGATGTTGTCTGCTAAAGCTAACCACATTATCTTCTTTGCTACCATAAAAATGTATGTGTTAAACACCTACCTATCCTTGGTGTATACTAAATTAAATATGTTTGCATATTTATAAATGGTATATATGAAAAATTTATTGCATGTAGATGGTATTCAAACATTGGATGAACATGTGTATGTTATTCTGTACATGCCTTTTAAACTTTTTCCTAACCTTCATGTATTGCGATGCATAGATACAATTGATGTATATTGCATTAATTACATAAAATTAACTTATGCTTTAGATCGTAAATGGAAAAGTAAACAGTTAATAACCCATAGTTATCATTATGGTGTTTTTCCAGGAGGTAGTATACTTGGTAATTTTGATTACCACGAATTAAAGTCAAAATTAAGCAAGTAACATCAATTAGCCTACTTTTCTCTGAAATTAACTGGAAAAAAGTCTCTATTCTTCAAAAGCATTTTCTAACATTTGTGATTATACTGTCCCTATTCTATCTTAGATGAAGATGCTAATTTTACATTAAAATTGTGCACATATTTTATCTCTTAGTAGTAGTAGTTTTACTGATTCCTAAATGGTTGCTTGAGAGTTTGCTTGTGTTACTGTTAAAATAATGCACCGTGAATTAGAAAAGATTAATTACAGCAAGATAAGATGGAAGAAGCATGAGAGAATCTTTGTAAACATTATTTTTGTGTGTCATTTTGAAAAACACTCTTTGGATTTGTTTAAGCACCAAATTACAAGTAGAAAAATTGTGAAGAGATTTTTCTACAACTTAGATGAGTTTTTAATCGATGTTAGAAAATAATCAATGTCACCATGAAAAGTGTTTCAGCTTGAAGACAGTTACTCATATGGTAAGATGAATATCATTTAAATGGAAAATAATTTCATTTCTGTTTAAATGGAAAATAATTTTCTGGTAAAAAAAAATACCGGAAAAATAAAACAATATCTTTGTATTCCTATTAATGTTACACAGGTATTTAACTTTTTTACGTGCTTTAGGGACAACCTCTCCTTGATAGCAGAAAGTCGTATTCATGCAGTTCACAGTTTGAACCTTGTCTGAGATTTCAAAACTCAAGTTTATATAAGCTAAAAGCTCTTGGTTATGTATTGAGCCCTACAATAGCTTTTAGCTGTTTGTTTTTGCTGCTATCTCTGTTGTTTGTTCAAGTAAGGATTTCTGCTTTGGTTGGTCTCAGTTGTCTAAGTAATGTTTGTTCTAGGAAACTGTTGTTGTGTCCTTTCTAGTTCTCTGTGCTGAGGGAGATAGATGACTTTCTTTTTGTTCTCTTACAAAGCAAAACTCGAATGTGGCTCAGACTGCTTTTCTAGGTTTTCATTCGGTTAGCAAAAGATTTTCAGGAAAAAAACCCTCAAGGTTTGCTTATAAATTCTCAAAATTGCTGCTGCAAATATGAAATAGATTAGTATTCTAATTTTGGCAAGATTTTATCCTCTGAGTAGTGTGATGAATATTTGGGTGCTCATTTTTCCCTGTGAGTATTGATTAATGAAACCAATATGACAGATGAAAATTCCATTAACTTATTTTAAATGGCTTTGTTAAGATATACCATACAATTTGCCCAGTTAAAGTATATAATTCATCCATTAACTGTTAAATAATGTTACTTCCCAATCATCCTGAGGTTCCTGAGGGAATACTGTGAGTCAATTTTGATGCTTTGATCAGAAACTTGCTAATAAGCTAGAAAAACGATCATAAGGGAAAGGCATAAATTCTATGCATCTCACTTAACAAAATTACAATTTGCATTCCATTTGGACCAGTAAAATATCTCAGAAGATTGGGTAAAAATGAAAAACAGTAGTTTCAAAAATTATATTAAGTTGATATGTGAATACTCATGTCTTCTGGTATCAGCCGCTGAACCTACTGAGTCAGGAACCATATAAACATAGGTTGAAGCAAGTAATCACATACCAACATTTAACATAAAATTCACTGTGGGTCTTGATTGGATATTAAATTAGATGTGACTGGGCTAGAAAGTGTCTTTCCTTCATACTACATCCAGTTTTCTAAAATTCAGATGTGACATACAAGTTCTGGCTGCATAAGACGAACTATGTATAAATAGCCCCTCAATTTTACAGTAAATTTTTTCCTTGAAAAAAAATTAAAAATGCTTTTTTATCATCCATGACTTGAATGTGATTTAATAATTGTTTAAGGGGGAAAGCATTGTTTGTTACCTCCAATAGCTTATGGCTGTCTTTCTGGTATTCTTGGTTGATAGTGAACTACACTTTTTGCAATCCAGTTACTGTGTGTGTTCTTGAATTCTATATTGGTAAGCTTGAACTATGTTGAACTCCCTGTGGGAATTTATCTTGTCCCCTGTAGGATACTTAGCAGCATTCCCTGCCTCCTTTCACCAGATAACAGCAGAACCTCTTTTCCAATAATGACAACCAAAAATGTCCCCAGATGTTGCCAGATGTTCCCTGATGGGTATAATCACCCTTTGTTGAGAACCACTATCATAGAGGATAGCAGCTTCCTTTGTTCATAGGTCTTTGTTGCACAGTTTCTACATTGAATGCAGGGTAACTTTTAGATGCCTTTTATTTTTTTCTTTACTTCCCTCTCTTTTGGAGTGGTGAGTTGTTTACCTCATATTCAGTGAAAACAATA